AGCAAGATCCCCAGGGAATGATGAGGGTGGACATTGGGGACAGGACGTGGTGTCCCAACAGACTGGACTGGAAACACTCTTAAAGGCCAGTGATCCTTGAACTAACTACAAGCTTTTCTTTCTTGGTAAAACAAAAACAAAAAAAACAAATGTGCTTTACACAATTGATGTATGGATTGTGATGAGTTGTATGAGGCCCTAATAAAATGATTTTAAAAAAATAAGAAAGCAACCAATAAATGTTAATTACATTTTGAGGATGAGTGAACTCAAGTTTCCAAAATGTATTTTTTAAATGTTTAATTAAATCTTATTAATCAAAATAAAAAAGTCCTAATCATTTTAATAAGATACAAACTAGAAATTTATCTACGTGTTTTTCCTAAATGTTTTTATTCTATTCCAAGTGACTTATCTAAATGCATGATTCACAATTGTTAATGGGCACTTTCAGGCTTCAAAGGGAACTTGTTAGTTCAAAATGCTAAAATTAATTTTATCAGTAGTGGTTGACAAGTAATTTCTATAAATAATAGCAAGATTATTTTCCTCTAATTAGAACACTGCCTCTGAATCCACTCAGTTATTGAATCTCATATTGATGCTATAGGGCAGAAGAGAACTGCCCCTTGGGGTTCGTAAGGCCGTAAATCTTTATGGGAACAGAAAGTCTCATATCTTTCTCTTGCACAGAGCAGCTGGTGAGTTTGAACTGCTGACCTTGTAGTTCACAGTCTAACATATAATCCACAACACCAGGTCTCATTTTTTGCTCTAAGAATGGCTGTAAAAACAGAAAGGTATGATATGGAGGTAACATTGGAATTCATTTAGCGTTATATTATAATCATTTACTCTAAAGTAATTAAAATTCTTGAAAGATTATTTTTAAAAGCCATGTAACAGGTATAGATAAGAGCTCAGGAAACATGGAATCCAGGTCAGATAAATCCCTCAGGAACGGAAATGGGAGTGGAGATACCAGGAAGCTAGGGGGAAAGTGGGGAGAGGAGGACGGAAGAAACTGTGGGGGAAGGGAGATAGCAGTCGGTGTGAGATATGAAGCTAATAATTATTTATCATTTATGAAGGGGTCACCGGGGTGGGAGGAGAGGAGGTAGGGTAAAAAGAGGAGCTGATATCAAGGGCTCAAATAGAATGTAAATGTTTAGAAAATAATGACAACAACATGTATACAAATATGCTTGATACGACTGATGTATGGATTGTTATAAGAGCTGTAAGAGTCCCCCAAAAAATGGTTTTAAAATAATAATAAAATCAACAACGAAAAAAAAGCCATGTAATATTCTATCATTTGTATAGTCTTTATCCTACCCTTCATTCCTTTTGTTAGGCAAGAGATAGTATTGAAACTAATATTTT